ATTAACTAAAAACTCTATTAGCCACAACAATATTAAATGAGTTACAATTCTAGTTGAAATAACTAAAGCAGTAAGTCGCACCGACCCTAATCTATATTGTTGAGTTGACTATATGATATTGTTATTGTGCCAACTATACTGTATTGTTGGTACAACTATTTTGATCCAAATATGTCAGTATTGTCCTCGGCACAATAAAGTTAGTTGTCCCTATATTAATTATAAAACATAGTTGGTGTAATCAGAATTATTGTCGACAGAACTAATTTTTTTTTCCGTGTATCAAGCTGAATATGAAACGCGATTCACTTTTTTCTGTAAAAATATTCATTCTTGGCTGGGTTTGGAATTTTGCTTGTTTTGGCAAGAACTAATGAAATTTTGGTAAAAAAGACAAACTATTTGTTACGAGTAGTTATTGTCTTCTAATTTATTTTGTTATTATTTTGTACGGAAATTCAAAAATTACGGCAATTCATCAAAAAGTTCTTGAAATTTATTTTTTATTTTGGTATCTAATGGAAAGATGTTTCAGCCATTCATTTAATATATTTATTTATTACAAAGGGATTACAGAATATTAAGTTGCCTTGTGCCACACATACGTGGAGTTGGCAGGTATTTCAGAACACCAACACAATGAGGTGGCAAATTATTTTGGTTTATGGTGTATACGAATTTTAAAGGAAAGCGGCACGTTTTATTAAAATCCGCGAGACTCTTTCAAATTACTTCAAAACAAGTCAAAAAGAGTCCCTGAAATTATAATAAATTGCCTCACAAATAATACACAGAAAGATTTCCGAGATTATTTCAAATTACTTTAAAAACAATACGTAAGAGGGCCCCAAGATTCTTTCTACTTCAAAAACAAAATACGAAGGTTTCCCGAAATTCTTTCAAACTAATTACTTCAAAAACCAAACACAAGTGGTCTCCCACGTTCTTTCAAACTACTTCACAAACAAAGCACAAGCGGTCCCGACATTCTTTCAACCTACTTCAAAAACAAAATATAAGGAGTCCCTGAGATTCTTTCAAACACTGCAAAAACCAAACAGAAGGAATTCCCGAGATTCTTTCAAACTACTTCAAAAACAAAACATAAAGGGGTCTCCGAGATTCTTTCAAATTACTTCGAAAACAAAACACAAGATGTTTCCGAGGTTCTTTAAAATTACTTCAAAAGAAAACACAAGGGATCCCCGAGATTCTTTCAAACACTTCAAAAACTAAACACAAGGGGTTCTTGAGATTCTTTCAAACTATTAAAAAAACAAACATAAAGGGGTCTCCAAGATTCTTTCAAATTACATACTTCAAAACCAAAACCCAAGAGGTCCCGAGATTCTTTCAGATTATTACTTTAAAAACACGACAAGGGGTCCCCGAGATTCTTTTAAACACTTCACAAACAAAGCACAAGAGGTCCCCGAGATTCTTTCAAACTACTTCAAAAATAAAACACAAGAGGTCCCCGAGATTCTTTCAAATTATTACTTTAAAAACATGACAAGGGGTCCCTGAGATTCTTTCAAACTAGTTCATAAACAAAACATAGGGAGTCCCCGAGATTCTTTCAAATTACTTCAAAAACAAAACACAAGAGGTACCCGAGATTCTATCAAACTACTTCAAAAACCAAACACATGGGGTACCCGAGATTTTTTCAAATTACTTTAGAAAAGACAATGGATACCGAGATCTTTTCAAACTTGAACTTCAAAAATAAAACACAAGAGTTCTAGGAAATTCTTTTACGCTACTTCAAAAACCAGACACAAGGGTTGACCGAGATTATAGAAGGATTATCACTTTAGAAAGATAAAGTATCTAAATGTTAAAGTGATAAATAAAATTAAAAATAGCAGTGACTATTGTGATGTATTGTGATGTATTGTGATTTTTTGAAAATTTGCTTGTTTTGGCAAAAGCTAATGGAATTTTGAAAAAAAAATGAAACCATTGTCTTTTAATTATTTTGTTATTATTCTGTACGGAGATTAAAAAATGTCCTTAATTTATCAAAACGTTCATGAAATATATTTTTTTGCTAAGGTATATAATAGCAGAATGTTTTGGATATTCATTTAATAATTGTTTTTTCATTACAAAAGTATTACATAATATTAAGTGCTACGCATAGGTGGAGGATGGCAGCTATTTCAGAACACCAACACAAGGAAGTGGCAAATTATTTTCGTTCATAGTATAGTAGTTTTATTAAAATCCCCGAGACTTTTTCAAATTACTTCAAAAACAAAACATAAGGGTTTATCGAAATTCTTTCAAACTACTTCAAAAACATACGCAAGGTGTCCTCGAGATTCTTTGAAACTTCATACTTCAAAAACAAAACACAAGATTTCCCCGAGATTCTTTCAAATTATGTACTTCAAAAACAAGATAAGGCCTCCCCGTGATTCTTTCAAACACTTCAAAAACCAGATACAAAGACCCCTTAAGATTGTTTTAAACTACTGCAAAAACAAAACACAAGAGATCCTCAAGATTCTTTCAAATTATTTCAAAAAGAAAACAAGAGATCCCCGAGATTGTTTCAAACTAGAACGTCAAAAACAAAACACAAGGGTTCCCCGAAATTCTTTCATATTACTTCAAAAACCAGACACAAGGGATCCCTGACATTCTTTCAACTACTTTAAAAACAAAACACAAGGGGTCCTCGAGAATGTAGAAGAATTTATCTTCAATCATCACTTTAGGAAAATAAAATAAATCTAAAAGCGCTAAATAAGATTAAAAATAGCAGTGAACAAAAATTAAAAAAAAAACAGTTAGTTAATTATGACACTAACCAAAATTATCACAAATTTAGTTACACAGTCAAAAAGCAGTCTAAATAATTTCTCAGTTTGAGTTAAATTATAAAGCGATTTAACTATAAGGTTTCAATTGCTTTTTTCGGTGATATATTTCAAACGTTGTTTATCATAGTAGAGTTAAAAATGTTCGCACATAGTCAAAAATAAAGGTTTTATTGTAATTATTTGAACCAAAATGAAGCCTTTTGTTAAAAATAACTGAAAAGAAAGTCGTCCACTAGGTCACGAAATTTATTTTTAAAATAACGATGGCAGCAGTGCAGCTATTTGTGAGTTTATTTGACAGTTATTACACAGTAGGTATTTGATAGTAGGTAACTATCAGACCGAATAAAGTTCACCAACATACTATTTTTAGAATTAAATTTCAATGGTTGCTTTTTTCTCATCATTTAATAGATACTTAGGTATCTATAAGCAATTTTTATTAAAAAGTGAAAAACAAATATTTACATGAGAAAATACCGGGTAATTTTTTAAATTTCTGATATAAAATGTCGACCGAAAAGTAAGTCGTATAGTTTGCCCAGTTCTAATTCGGTTTTATGATGTGTAAAAGTTAACTTCCTTAACAATAGATTACTACTGCCGGTGATGGGACAGTCATAAATAAGGATTTAATCATTGTTTATAATGTTAAGTTAACTTTTACACAATGGGGTATCATAAAACCGAATTAGAACTGGGGAAACTATAACTCGAACTTGCGAAGTGACAATACATAATATAGGTTACCACTACAATACAAGTTAAGTTCTAAGAGACAACCTACGTAATTTGGTGACGTAATGGGCAGCCAAAAACAATGAATTTAAAAAATCACGTGGTATAATGTGTAAATGATCCTAGTATCAAGGGTGGCTCTGGAATATCTTTGTTAATTATTTTGCCGCCCTATTACAAGAATAAGGCAGATTTTTTTGACATTTCAAAGCCATCCTTGACACCATTTATGGATACGGTTTATAATGAAGAAGACGAAATATTGCTATAAATTAGCGAACATTTTTAGGGCTCTCGAAACAATTTTTAACTCGACTAGCGCCTCATGAAGATTTCATTTTCATTTATTAATGCACAATTTCGAACACTGATTACACAAATAAATTAGATTACCTAGACATTGAAAATCATTGTAATGTATAATTTTGGTTTAAATGTGAACATCGACAATTTCAAACGTTAAACCACAGCGTATTTTTCCAAATTTTTGTTGACGTCAGAAACCAAAAAAAAAATTGCACCTTGTTCCTGCTGTTCATTTTTATTACACAGGTAATTATTTACTTCCGCTTGGCTCCGGCAATTAGTACCCAACACACTTTTGATGAAATATTGCACTCCAATTTCAATGTGCCGCATTTATTTTAATTATTTTGTTTTACTTATTTTTTATATCATTATTGTTATTTTTTAAATAATTGTAGTTTTGTTAAAATATTAATTTCAAGCACGACAATGCTTTTCGAGCGCCGCCAACAATATAACAAAAAATCGGGTGAATTAATTAAAAATTAAAAGTTTAAAATGACAATACAGTTTAAAAGTAATTTTTTTTCATTATTTAACATTCTTTAATTTATCACAGTTTTAAATAAATAAGTAAAAGCTCTGAAAAGTATCGTGGTGCAAATTCTCTTTTTACCGTCGCTTCGCTGTAACCTCATCCATATATAATCCGCCCAATTTAAATATAATACTTATCAAAATACTAAAGCTCCTTTGAATGGCCCCTTAAAAATCTGTACAACAATAAAAGAACCACCTCCAGGCGGTGTTACGCGTCCCATAATTACAGTTATCATCTCGCTACTGAGAAACAAACACTTTGCGTGTCAACGTCTTGTTAGTCAGTTTTCGAAGCCGTCGCACCACAGAACAATCACTGCGGGATTACCGGACGCCCTCTGGTGGCCACAAAACACGCAACGAAAATAGCCTCACCGCAAGAACTATTACACTACTCTGCGTTAAAATAACACCAAATTCGACACACTTTTTTTGTGTAATTTATTTACAAAAAATAAAATCAGTCACTAGTATAGCCTGTAATTTAGTTGTGACACTAGTAATTTTAGTCAAAGTACGGGCAATTCGTCTGCCGCAGGATGAGTCAGTGTGACACTAGTAATTTTTAGTAAATGCGGGACTAACCTGCTAGCCTATCCTTGACGACTTGAGTGGCGAAGGCGGCGGCCGCCGCCGACCGCTGGAGCACCGGGTCCAGGCCGAGCGTCCAGGGGCTGAAAACTCCGCCGGCGGGACTGCCGGGGCCCCCTAGAGGCCTGTGCGCGGGCACCCTCAAAACACCTTGTCCGTAAAATCCCGACGGCACCAGGCCCCCCAGGGCGCCCCTCTGCTGAAAAATGGCAGAGTTGTGGTGGTAGAGCGACGCGACACCGTCCGGCTCTGTCTTCTGTTCGAAATTTTTGCCTAATAAGTTCGAAATGCTAAACGGCAGGACCGTACTGGTGGAACTGTGCGACGTGGGCACATTTTCGGGGCTCGAGCAGTGACTCCTGGCGCTGTGCGGCTCACTGTCACTATGTGATAGTCTGCTGTCGGTGTCCAAGACGTTGATCTCGTGGTCGTCTTCCGTCAGCTCGTGGTCGGACATTATTGGTTAATAGCGATCGATTGCGGTTAATTGCGATTAATTCGTCACTCGTTTACGCATGGTTAACTATCACAGGGCCGATTAATCCGGGTTTAATTAGCACGTGAGACAGCCGGAGCCGACCGGAAAACAGCCGCCTAACTTTAACGAATGTCAGGAGAACACTAGCCACCAACTAACTGGTTGCCATGGCATCGCCAACGTAGTTAACGCGAGCCCAATCATTGGCCAGATTGCGTTTGTTAGCCCCACCCACGCCATTTCCCATTGGATTAAACTGATTCCTGCTAAATTGAATATCTTTCTGTTAATTTTTTTGTGGATCAAGTAAGCGGTTTGGTTTGTTCGTTCAGATGGTGTTGCCGGTGCGCACGGGGTAATTGAATTTTCGAATTAATTCCACACAAGAGCGGATTAACTCGTTATTTTTTCAAATGCCGGGCATTTTCTCATTTCAATACACGTCAAATAAAAAGAATCACTACTGCGGCGTCGCTAGAGCGAAAAATCAAAAATGACACATCCGGAACGAAATAACGAATGCGGATATTACCCACAAAACGCGATCGATCCTTTCACCCTGTTTTATGCATGCAGATTAGGGGCGGTTTTCAAGAAATCAGAGCGGTCAGCGTAACGGTCAACCCGTTTAGAACCGATGCCATCCCACCATCTCGTTCGGACAACGGGTGTTTTGTTTCAAGAATTAATTGTTGTATTTTTTCCTTTTTTCCCACTTCTTCTTGCTTTTGTTGCTTACAGCCATTTTGATTTTTCCACGAATCGCTGTCCAATTATGCGCGTTCAACTGTTTAATAAATGAATTAGCTTCTTTTGTAATGTAATTTTCTTTATGTTTCCCCTGATGAATAATTGAATGCCCGTTTAATGGCTCTGCTTTACACTCGATCTGTCTCTGCGGTGGTCTGCAGGATGCTTCCAAGAACGACACATCGTCACGACATACGGTAATGAAACACAAAAAAATTGGGAGTCAGAGTTGGCTAATATATTCCACATATTTATATCTCAAAAAGATATATTTATTTTAGTTGTATAGACCAAAACTATTACTTCAATCATCGCTACTATTTTCACATTTTCGTTAACAATAATTGCCTACAAAGCTCCTCATCGATCCTCCCCATATTTTCCACCAATTCATAATTTATGCGACCCGCTTACTGCACTTTTTTGAGATTTAATTTTAACTCTGGTCGACGTTAATTCGCAGCATCTCCCCTGACAGCACGTCTCGCTTCGCATTTTCCCCTTTCTTTTCTCGTTTTAATCGCTTTGTCTGCAGTGAAAGACCCAAAGAGGACATAAAACTCATAAAAATTATCGCTTAATTACCCTTAAAATTTTATTATGATTTGTTCTTTATCGAATTCGAAATTCGAACCCGGCTTTACCAAGAACCGACAATTAGTCAACCACCCGGCTAAATTACCACGGTATCGAATTTATTTTACGATTTAGAGGAACTACCCGAGAAGGAGTGGTTTAAATTGGATGAGAAATTGAAAGAAAAAAACACCTGTTGGACAAAATGTACCTACATCCAGTGTTTTAGGATAATTTAGAAAATGTAGATAGAAAATCTCATTTTTCACATTTAACGGTACGTAAGTCCAAAATGGCACAAAAATTCGCATTGCTAGCTTTCTAGTTCTAGAAGAAAATTTTCGAATATATAGCAAGATGTAATTTTTGAGTCAAAACAACGCCAAAACTGCAGCAGAATCCACATTGTTATTTAAAGCATTTGATTCTTTGGAGTTTTTCAGTTCTACATATATAAGCAAATTTTCAGACCGGATGCTTGATCTATTTAGTATGGAGAGACAAATATACAGGGTGAATCACTAAGCGCGCGGTCCCCGATCTCATTAAATATTAGAGATAAAAAAAAGTTACAGACTAAAGTTGTACGTTTTTTTTTGGAGCATACCGTAAAATGATTTTGAACTTATTTTATTATTGCATCTTTCTCTATTTTTTGTTCCCATTTTTCCTGTATGGCGATGTGTCTCCTAAAAAAGTAAAAAAACACAGTAAATATCAACTTTTAACATAGAAAAGAAAGGGAACAACAAATACAATAAGATGTAGGAATAAAATACAGAGTGTTCTGTTTGAAAAACCTGAAATATCATTATTTGAAAATTGTTCAGTTTTAGTTTTTTTTTATAAACATTCTGTACACAGTTTTACAATTACAATTACAATTACAATTTTGGTCTGTGACTTTTTTTCCGATTCTAGTAATTAATGAGATATCGAGAAACGCGTGCTTAGTGACTCACCCTGTATAGCCTAAAAACGTAAATTGTTTATCTTGATTTTCCCAAATTCATTTTCCTTATTGTTTTTCCCAATTTTCGACAAGAATCAGTCTTTTTCAACGCTACATCTTTATTTAAGAGTGAATCAAAACTATCCAGATCTATTTTGGCACAGAAGAAGAATTTTCATCTGGAGCAAAATTTTCTTCGAAGATCATAAGAAATTGAGTGGTACTTCCGCAACGGGCAGCAAGTGAAAATAGATTATGTAAACTCGCAAAATATGAGGAAACGGACTGCATAAAATTCTCATTATTTTGAAGAAACACCTACAAGAATTGGAGTTTTTCTTAAAGGAGTAATTTAAAGCTACAAGATATCAGAAGATGCCACATGAATTTATTGACCATCTTGATCCCAAAAAAATTATAAAATTTTTATTTTCAGCATGACGCTGCAACAACTCATACAACTCAAATAAGTTATTTGATTTTTCAACGGAAATTTTATGACAGCTGTTTAATTAGCTCCCACGCAGACCATATCCATCCACCTCGATCACCTGATCTGACACCTTCAGATTATTTCTTGCTCCCGATTTTGAAAAACACTATTTTTAAACAATCAGTAGATACAAGACTATGACCCGGTTTATATAGAAAGCGAATTAAAGTTAATTCGCGATTAATTTTTAACTGAGGTTCGTTGCTAAGCAGTGTCCATGTTTTAACCAATCACGGGCTCATATTCTACGTTTTAATCTTCTGTTAAATTAATTGAGGCTTAAATATTTAATTCGCTTTTTATAAGTACTTACCCGAATATTTGAGAATATGAATCGTCGAGTCAATTTAAGTATGGAAGCTTAAATAATAATAAATAAATCAACCAATCTCTTTTTGTTATAGTTTCAGAAGAAAAAAAATTAAAAATGGGTGGGTGGGCGGGGTTAAGTTTAATTTTTTCCTACAGAACCTTTTATAAGCAAGCAACAACCCCGCCCACCCACCTTTTCCTCATTGTAGTGACTACTCTTAATACAGTGTTTTTTATTTTTTGGTTAGTCAGACTTAAAATTTTAAATTATCATACCTAAATAGGTATATAATTTTAAATCCATCAAGGGTTTAATTCTTGTTGACATAACCTAACATAACTTTCTAAGTTCAGCCGCAGACAACTCATATTCAGATTACGTTATGAAATTGAGAATTAATCACAGTAATCATCACGTTTTTAAGAATAAAGTGAATTATGTGCTAAAATTATTAAAATTTTATAATTTAAAAAAATCTGTATCAACGACCTACTTTTCACCTGAATTTGTTTTGGCAAGAAATTCTTAGGTAATTAGATCACAAATCAAACATCATCACTCGTTAAAAAAATGAATCCCTGAAATGAAGCCGGGGTAGGTGGGCGGGGTTAATTGTATATTTTTCTGTAGAATGGGAATATTTTATGGTATTTTTTTGTTATAATACCTATTTGCTGTAAGATTTATTTCTTATTTCAAAAAAAAAATAGAGAAGGGGTGGGTGGGTGGGGCTAGGTTTTACTTTTTCCTGCAGAATCTTTTATAGGCAAGCATTAGCCCCACCCACCCACCCCTTCTTCATTGTAGTGACCACTCTTAATATTGTTATCTCAGTAGTGTTTTTTACTTTTTGGTTAGTCAGATTTTTGAACAAAAGTACGTATTATAACAAGGCCATAGATAACAATTAATTTGTCATTCTTGATTACTTATTACGAGGCTATGTTTAACATTTTCCTACACAATCTTTTAAAAGCAGGCAATAGGCCCGCCCACCCACCCCCTCTTTATTGTAGTAACTACTGTTAATACTGTTAGTGTTGTTTTTTTTTTGTTAGTCAGACTTTTAAACGAAACTACGTTTTATAACAAGACCATAGATAACAATTAATTTGTCCTTCTTGATTACTTATTACTTATTAAGTTTTTCCTACAGAAAATTTTATGAATTTTTTATTTTTATAAATATTAATTGGTCTATTAAAAAATTCTTGAGTAATTTGATCACAAATCAAAGAATGATTTGGTAAAAAAAAATTAATCACCGAAATGGAGGCAGGGTGGGTGGGCGGGGTTAATTATATTTTCTTCTGTAGAGCGGGAAGGAACTAATAGAACCTAGGTTGTTAAAAAAATAAAAAAAATCTTTAATCGTATTTTTTTTATTGCAGTACATATTTGCTATAAGATCTATTTCTTGTTTGGGAAGAAAATAAACTGACAAAACGGGTGGGTGAGCTGGGGCTAAGTTCAAATTTTTCCTACAGAATCTCCTATAAGGAAGCATTAGGCCCGCCCACCCACCCCCTCTTCATTGCAGTGACCACTCTTGATACTGTTATCTCAGTAGTGTTTTTTATTTTATGGTTAGTCAAATTTTTAAACGAAAAATTGCGAATTCACCATAATAATGCACAATTTTAGGAATGAAATAAATTATGTGTTAGTCATTAAAATTTTGTAATTAAAAAAAGATCTGTATCAACGACCTACTTTTCGGCCGAATTTATTCTATTAAAAAATTCTTGAGTAATTAGATCACAAATCAAAGAATGACTCGGTCAAAAAAAATGAATCACTTAAATGGAGGCAGGGTGGGTGGGTGGGGTTAATTATATGTTATTGTGTAGAGTGGGACGGAACTAATAGAAGCTAGGTTGTTAAAAAAAGAAAAAAAGCGTTAATCGTAATTTTTTGTCGTAGTACGAGTATTTGCTGTAAGATTTATTTCTTGTTTCAGAAGAAAAAACTGAGGAAACGGGTGGGTGGGCGGGGCTAAGTTTAACTTTTTCCTGTAGAGTCTTTTATAAGGAAACAA